TCACTGAGTCATGTTAGTAGGTGTTGACTACCTGGTTGGGGTCCGCGAGATGATAGTAATCTGTGGTTATAGACCCTGAATCACATGGCTCAAAATCGTTTACAACGACGCAGGTGCATTCATTCTTTGGCTTCTCTCAAATCGTAACCTTCTGAATTACTCATCACTTTTATCTTTTTCTTCTTAAGTTTATTTCACTAGATTCTACTTCTTGAATAAAATCCTCGAACCCCAATCTTTCCGATTACTGCTAATACCTTTACTACCTCTACTACTATGAGATTTGAATTGGTAATTACATCTCTGTGCTAATGTGGTATGGCAACTTGAACTGATGTACGTACGCACGAAGTTCTACGTTGCTATTGATTGATTGACCCTCCAAAAAACAGTTGATCGAAAGCTTTTTTCAAGCTCAATACTTCTAAGATGATTGTTTTCACCTATAATCATTATCAGCGACAGTGATGTTTTAACTAAAATTCAAAATAAAAAAAAATATCAACGTTTAACATACTTCCGGATTTTGCTCAACATCTTGACCCCAACTTTCTTCATCTGAACTATTATTAGCTTCATAGTCAACACACCAATTTGTGCCACACACCAATTTTGCCTGAGAATTCTGATCACATTTCATAAGATATTGTGACCTCAAAACTTTCCAATTATTTCCATTCAACTGACAAGGATTATTTATACAGACAAAAAAATACAATGTTCTATGATATTTTGAATCACCAATTGGACAATATAATTGCATAATAAAATCCATAGGTTTATGACAAACCATGCATTGTATTTTCTTCAAAGGCGGTGATTTCACATATGGAAAAGTGATTAGATTTCCACCAAAAAAACTTTCAGTATAAGTTAAATTATGTTTTGGGGTTTGTGAACTAATATAACCTAGCAATGCCATCTGAAAAAAAAATTCAAAGTAGTAGTCGTAATAGAAAGAACAAATAGTACAATTTGAAAAACAAAAATTGGATGAGACGCCATACAATGTGACCGAAAATGGTTACTCCAGCTATGATGCGCTAGAAATGCGATTATTGGCTGACTACCTCGTTCTAGGGCACATGTTTAGATTCAGATCATGCCCTAGTGCGAGCACGTATTTGTTTGAGGCTCGCTGGACGTAGGAAAGACACCGTAAGGAAGCCTCTTAGGGTTTTACTTAATGATAATCAAGCTAAGAAAATATTTCAGGAGCAAATAGAAAAACAGTTAGGCGACCATGCAAGTGATTCCCATCTGGAGTCAGGTTGGAATGATATCAAAAAGGCTGTGGAAACAGCAGTGATATCTGCTAGTAAGGTGAACCATGAGGCTAGGATGAAGCAGTGGATTTCAGTCGCATCCACCGATCTGATGGATGCTCGAAAACTCATCCCACCTGACTCTGAACATGATGAAGAGCGAAGTCAGCTTAGGCGCAGACTTATAAAAAGCCTACGCAACGACCGTGAACAGTGGTGGGTGGCGAAAGTAAAAGCGATGGAGAAGGCAGCGGCGATCGGCAACAGTAGACAACTTTTCCGCCTTATTAAAGAAACCGGTATTAGGAACCCGAATTTGAGTGAGACTATCTCGGAGAGGGATGGTCTTATTATCCATTCTCAATCCAGGAGATTGGATCGATGGGCAGAACACTTTAGGGATCAGTTCAACTGGCCTCGAGCCACACTTCGGTTGCCTACGATCCCCAGTCATCCTGAATGGCAAATCGATTTAAGTCCTCCCAGTCTACATGAAGTTGAGAAAGCTATAGGAAATCTAAAGCGAAGTAGAGCAGCAGGTCCTGATAGGCTTACCCCTGAGATGTTTAAGGATGGTGGTCCAGTTTTAACAGTTAGACTGACCGAGATCTTAAGTAGAATCTGGGAACTGGACGTAATCCCATCTGACTGGTCTCAGTCGCTAATTGATTTGACATTTGCGTCTCTGTGCTAATGTGGTACGGCAACATGAACTTATGTACATATGTACGAAGTTCTACGTTGCAACTGACTGACTGATAGCTGACTACTTTGTCATATTAAGTCTAACAATTCGAAAATTGAATCTGATAAGTTGCCTTGCATACTTACTTATATATTACACCACAAGTGGTTGAATTAAAAGGCTCTGATAATCAGTTTCTTATGCCCAAAAGTGAACCCGTCACAATTTAGCTTTTTCTGAATAAGGATTTCTGTTCAGCGTAATAAAAAGGCGATGGAAAATTTAAATACTTGCAGTATTACAAGTGTTAATAGGATTTGTGAACATATATGGTATCAAACACAGTGACTGAGATTGATTTCACCAATGGTTAGAGACCTTGAATGACATGGCTCAAAATCGTTTGCAATGGCGCAAGTGCATCCATTCATTGTCCTCTCTCAAATCTTAATCTTCTGGATTCGTCAGCACCTCTACTTTTGTCTTTCTAAACTTATCTCACTGAATTCTACTTCTTGAATAATATCTTCAAACCCTAGTCTTCTTCCTTACCATTAATACCTCTACTATTTTTATCGCTATGGGATTTGATTTGAAATTTCCGTCTCTGTGCTAATGTGGTATGGCAACATGAACTTATGTACATACGTACGAAGTTCTAGGTTGCAACTGACCGACTGACTGAGATTGATTGAAAAAGCCTCCCTTAATAGGTAGATAAGGTAACGTGTTTAGATTACAAGATAGCACAATCCATAAATATAATTCTACATAACATTTCAGTGACCAAACTGGGACCTAATTCTAATTGAAAGGACATAGATGTGGCGATTAGAAAACAGCCAACTTCCCATCAGTCTTTCTAGACACTCGATCAATCTATGTTCAAGTTCTAATTAGGATCATTTAGTCACTTACTGAGAATATGGAAACCAACTTTATCTGCATGTGAAAATTGATTCGAATAAGTCTAGGAATACGGATTCGGCAATATTATTTTCCTCTTTACTTTAATTGAACCGTCAAAACCTAATAAAATAGTATCGACTGTGAATATATATTTACTTATAAGTTTCTGTTTCCATTTTCAATGTTACTACTACGTTTCACATGTTTACATTGGCAGAATAAAAAGTAATTCGTACACGTATCCGACTAAACTTACATTAAACATTAACAAAATGGTTTTTACGACCAATTCACAATTCTAAAACTCAACATAGAAACTGTAAACAAGGTCTAGTTCTTGAACACTCTTTGTCATGATGGAATGATACGGCTTAAGAATTGTAATACGCAGCTGGAATGTGTTGACATGATTGCACTGTTGCGTTCCAATGGGAAATAGTAAGACTTTCCCAAAATATATCGCAAGCACGACGACTTAGAACTTTCGCTAAGTAGTAGACTTTCTTGGTAAACTTACTGGTCGATTTTTTATCAGGTTTGCATTGGCAGCATACATAATCATAACGAATAGCACATATTTAATAAAAAACTACGAGCTGTCAGTATTATATTACCTACAAAAATCACTGTGAGTAGACATTCCTCACACGTGTTAACAATGAAATACATCTATCATATCTCTAAACACATTTCATCATGTTATAAAACTGGTTTACTTGGAGAAAGAAGAGTAGAAAAGGAATACTTCGCATGTACTAAGTGCTCTTTTGCGTAGGCGAGTAGACCAATTGAAAATTGCGAGGAGGTGGTTTATTTGGCGTAGGTTTTGGGATACTTTCTTTCCTGGGAGATATGCTGGGGGTAAATGAAACATTTTAATGTTTAATCCTTGTTTCCAGTGAGAATAGTTTATGTAAGACTTCAAAGTGATTTAATTCTAACCGAAAAAAAGGTTTTTAGCATGAATCAATATCAACTACAACATCATAATGCCAATTAGACCAACAAATGGACAAGTTCCACAGTACAATCGCAGACTTTCTATCTGAAATATTTTTGGATTATCAATAAATAATTTTCGCACTATCGTGTTTTTAGTCGCTATGATAAAACCAAGCAACGCCGAATTAAGTCCTACTGTAAAAAAACATCACATTACTTTTCATGCTGAAATGTAACGTACTACTTGATAATTGCGCAAACCAATATCCAATTTCTTCATCACGAGCTAATGGCAACCAATCGATAACTATGCGCTGACTTCTGTTTCTCTCATTATGGTTACAGGTATTTTGTGTACAGTGAATGGTTTTCTACCCACTTGATTACACTAATTCTAGTCAGATGGCAGTTATTTGTGAATTTGTATGTACCGTGATTCGAATGAGTGCGTTTTTCTCAGGGCACTAGGGTTTCTGGATGCAAACAACTCAAAAGAAGATTTCAGGACTAAGTAAGTAGATGGATGAGCGAGTTGAATAATTGGTAGTGAATATTGTATGAAAGGACAGGAATGTTATCAAAGAAGCCGAAACAGAGGTAATAAGCTAGACAAATATGTTTGGTGGTCTGTAGAAATAAAAATAATAATAACCAGCAAGTTTCAAGACAGGCGTCAGGCACAGTTGTTCAAACTTTTGCAAAGATAATACACCATCAAGTGTTTTTATTTTGTTTTTTCTTATTCTCATATTAGTCTATTCTTAACTAACAGATAAGTATTCAGTCTATTATTATGTAACGTGTACACGGATTATTCCAGTTTCTGGACAGATGGATTTATTTATTATTAGAGGTCAGGATCTACACGTATTCTAAAGTGATAAGTTACCCAATTTCGGCCCACAACTGTTTTCAAGTGAGAGTATATATGCTTATCACTTACTCCATTCATCATTATTCCTAAGCTTATTGATTTGTTTGACTATAAAAGGTTAGTCACTTTTTGCCGTATCGGGTTGACACGATTTTCTTCGCTGCTTAGTTTCAATTCGACTTTGCCATACTCAAATCTGTTTCTGTTAACTAGTGACTGAAAGAAACCATACCAAAAATTTCAAATCGAAATTTGTGCAATTACTTACTTACCAACACTCGTTATCCTTAATTGGCCATAAGCCATTAACCAACTGTGTCCTGGGTCTTCCTTTACAGTGCTACCCAGTTTTTGTTAATTTTCCTTATGTCTGTCTCCAATTCTCGGCTCAGTGTGCACCTTTCTTCCAAGCATCAGCATGTTATATTCTTTCGTTTCTACAGCATTATGAATGATAATCCCACAGTTTAAACACAGTAACCCTACGAGTGCTCGAGGCAAATATATATAGATGGGGTCGGCTCAGATGGAACTCACAATTTATGAATAAAATCTTTGTGATACTCGTTAGTATAAAGTACCGGGAACAGGTGAACATGAGTAGCGTATACCACTTTTATCAACATTCCACGTATTCTCTACGAACTTGTACCACAATGACATTGACGAGATTGACTGCATCGGACTGAAATGCCAACTAAGACAGATTAAATTTCAGTGTCAATAATCAGCAACGAGATTTCTCAATCCGTTCCAACTTCGTTGATTCAAATTTGATCTGACACATGCACCAGTGAACAAATCAACACATCATGAATGTAAATCTTTCTCTACTTCTGTAGATTTCCTTTAAGGAGACAGATGCAAGTTAGTTGATCCGCGAACTTTCTTTCTACAACAGACTCCAACCTTCAGTTTATTTTGAACGCAATTCGTTAAGTGTGTAGTGTTAAATATCAAGAGCTTGGCTGTCTGTGCTGCTTTTCAGGAATTTGGTTATTATCGAGATCTGACTGGGATTCCAACGAATATACAAATGGTTCAGACATATATTTTCGGTCGAATTCTAGGAGCCCATAACTTGATATAAGAATCGATGGTAAAATTTTCCAAATTTATGGTTTAGTGTGAGAAAACTGGATGCGCTTTTTGACATTACATAGTATATCTTAGTGAGCATATGGTCATTTTTGAGTAAATCAGATGAGGCTAGAGACGGTTAGTTCCGACAGTTTATTTTTTGATGACTAAGCCGGAGTGATTTTATTCCATTTTGACCTTTTCAGGTTCCTACCGTTTAATTTGATAAACAAGAGGATTAGTTAAACAAAATAATTTTAACTTAGAGCATCATACATTTCTCACAGCACAATCTACGATAAAGTAGGACATAAAGTTTTGATCTGTTAGGCCTCCTGAGGTAAAACAGCAATTAATTTGCAGAACTGTCCGGATAGTAGTTCCTTTAAAATAGTATCTTCTTTTAAAGACAGTGCTCAATCTGAGCACTAAATTCTGAAATTCAGTTAAACTGTTTCTGAACTAGTGAGGTTCATATTGACGTCTTTTCAGTTCGAAAATCTTGTCGAATCAGTGAAGCGCCGTGACACCCTTTGTTAATTATTCTTAAAGCTGAAAGGATATATACTTCTTACGTATGATCACTACTAAGGTACCTTTAGCCTCCTGTGGGCTGGATTTAAGTGAGGGAATGCTTGGATTAGAATAATATCTAGGAGCAGTCTCATGATGTGTTATTTATCACTGCCTCTGATTACATAACACTGTTTTCTGGTGTGCAGGTTTTAGCATCTTTCATGGCCCATTTTCGAATGGAACATTGGTGGTCTGTGCAATGAATTCTCAGAATTCTATTTCTGCTTCATAATATGACTGAGGATTCTTGCTATTGCAAAACGGAACAAATTTTGATAATGTTCCACTCAAGAATTAATCAAGGATCTTTAACTGAGAGTTTGTGATACGATAACCAGAAATCCACAACTAATCACGGTACGGTAGATGTCGTTATGAATTTCGATCGCAACACAACAACGAAACCGATAGAAACTGTAGAAATAAATCCCACTGCATGAGAGACAACAGTTAACACTCTAAGATGAATGTAAAATGCTGTCGGAGTGATTTGGTTATCTGCTGTTGTCAGAAAAAGTCCCTAGTTTTGTAGCGTGGTAGACTTACCTACTTTTGATTATTAGATATCATATTGTTTCATTAAATCATTTTCTGGTTGTGATACCTTCTTCTCAAGTATCGGTCTAGTGGGTGCAATCGGCACATTCTGTTAGATCGTTAACTCATGCGTAGACTCCTTTATGCCTCTGATAATGTACCAGACTAGTAAGCCTAACACCAGTCTATCATAGTAGTAAATTTATGGCAGATGTACAAGCAACCGTAATTTTTTAGCAAATTAAGAATTATAGTCTAAAGATATTAAAAGGGGTTGCAATCGACATATATGTAAAAAACCTAATACTTGTTAATAAGCATGCTAGGGAAACTCACAATACAGGGATACCGTTTATCAAGCATAATGACATATGTACGATCGATTTTGAAGGCTTTGTTTTTGTAAAATCCCTCCATATATATATATATATATATATATATATATATATATATATATATATATATATATATATATATATATATATTTGTTATGATCTGACTGACTCTTTCTGTTCGATATTTTGGTACTTTATTTGATCCCATTTCGGGGTTTTATCATTTGTATCTTGTTATTATTTCTATACCTTGTACTTATATTGAAGTCCCTGTGTTTTCATCTGAACTATATATGTGTTGTTTAAAACTGATACTTAATATGGTTACAGCCATGTTTGGATTTGATACTCTAGCAGCAGCTGGTTGCAATTAACTGGAAGCACTTATTCTTCCAGTATCGGAACTTATTGTTGTGACTAGAAATTTGAAGGTGTAATAGTGTTTTGGTAATCTTCTATATTTCCCTTTCTGATTAAAAATAGAACCGTTCTTTGCCAGGTTTATCATTCTTGGACTTGGACTGGGCGAGACGCGTGTGAAACTACACCTCATGGATTGCGAGCTCACTGCGAGGGTAATAGATATTTCTACGACATATTTATAAACTACTGTAAAATCCATGGAAACCTTTCCAGCAGTATTTTTGCGAACAACAATGCGTTCTTAACCAGCATTAGTTCAAAGTAATGTATGCTACTAGTGTGGTGTGCGCTACTTATACGAACGATATAAGTAGTATAAGAATGGACGTGAAAGAAGAAGTCTTACGGTCAGAAGAGGAAAACGGAAAGCAAATAGAGAAAAAGCAAGAAAGAAATAGAGCACCGACAGGAAGTAAAGGAAGCAACAGCAGGAACGGAAGAAGGCTGGAGCGTTGGAAGTCAGGACTCAAAGGTGGTGTGCAAATGGAATGTTCAATGTAATGCTATCGTTTTTAATTGACTAAGAGTGTAAATTAGCCAAATACAATCTATGGAGCCTGCCTCAGTCTTCTCACTAGTAACTCATTTATTCCACTTCTTACACTTATCTACGAATAATGGAATCTATTAACCCACTTAAGGTCCCAAACAGTCATGGATTCGACGGAATTCTTTCCGCTGTCTTTAAATATGGTAGATACGATATTTAAACACTTATACGGAAGCTGGTTACTCTCTCCCTCTGGAGACTGGTACTAGGAAACCTGAAATATCATACCTCCTTACTAACATGAACCGTTACTGGCCTGAATATTACTTCAGTTATCTTTAGGATAATAGAAAAGATACATGGGGACTAGCTTGTAGTGGAATGGTTTTAAAAACGGAAGGCAAGTTGTGAAATGGACACATTCACTATTAAAACCAATTCTACCAGTGATCGTTTAACTGTACTTTTTGTTTATAACACTCTGTACGCACAAACTTTCTGTTTGTGTTGCTGTCATCTCTGCTCCACGGTCTCTGTAATTTCGCTTCACTTTCCTGGCCAGATTTCGGTGTTCTTTGGATAACCAGTAAATATATAGTTTACACAGATTTTTTGTCTTCTCAGTGACGGTTTCGTAATTAGTATTTTGTGGTGATCAAAAAAACCCTGACTCGATCACCACTATAACTATTACAAAGACTGATCGAATTTCAATCAAATTACCAATGACTGGATAATACGAACCATTACAAATATGACGTTACTAACTTTGATCTTAGACGTTAAACACACTAAAGTGAGTTGTCACCCCTAATAACAACATGTATCAGCTGTTCGAATGCAATATGCTTGATGAAGTGTCACATCACTGAAATCTGAAACATCTCCATCAAAGCGCTCGAATATTTA